GGGATGGGGAGTCAAGGGAAAACTTGGGGCAGGAGAAAAACAAGATCTGAATTAAAAAAAAAATACTACTCGTTGGTTCCCACATCAAAACAAGACCACAGGTAGAGAAAGAGAGGAAGCCCATGACAGGCTGTAAAGTATTCCAGGGGAAGGATGATGGAGGGTGAGGTGAGGTGTTTGTGACGGAAGCTGTGCAAAGTACAAACAGGCTTCTGGGTATGTTTTGAATATATAGCCAATAGGTCTTGCTGCTGAGTTGGGTATTTGAGTAGAGAATGAGAGGAGGCAGAGATGGGTGAACTTTGGCTGGAACAACCAGAGGAACAGATTTGCTAAAGTAAGGAAGACTTTTGGAGAGGGGGAGTTGGAGTCAACGAACCAAGGTTCATCCTTGGGCATGCTATGTTTCAAACATCTCTTTGACGTCTAATTGCAAATAACAAATAAGCAGTTGGATACAAGAGTTTAGAGCTAGGGGCTGAGGCTAAGCTGGGAATATAGATTAGGAAATGGTCAGCAAGCAGGAGGCACTTAGAGCAGTGAGACGGGATGTTTATCAAAAGAATAAGTATAGGGATAGAAGTAGTCCAGGGACTAAGCCTGAGACACCCAACAGTGACCTGCTCAAAAGAGGATGAAGATTAGTGACTGGCTGATGAGGCTGATGGAGAAGGCAATGGCACCCCCACTCCAGTACTCTTGCCTGGAAAATCCCATGGATGGAGGAGCCTGGTAGGCTGTAGTCCATGGGGTCACTAAGAGTCAGACACGACTGAGCGACTTCACTTTCACGTTTCACCTTCAAGCATTGGAGAAGGAAATGGCAACCCACTTCAGTGTTCTTGCCTGGAGAATCCCAGGGACGGGGGAGCCTCGTGGGCTGCCCTCTATGGGGTCACACAGAGTCCGACACTACTGAAGTGACTTAGCAGCAGCAGCAGCAATGAGGCTGAGAAGAGGCAGACAGGGAGATATAAGGAAAACCAGAAGATCTTCAAGTCAAGGAAGGCAAGTGAAAGCAGTGTTTAAAAGGGAAGGGATCACTCACATCAAATGTCCTTGGAGATCAAGGAGGGTGAGGGCACTGCCCACAAATTTGGTCATGGATGGCACTGTCATTCCTGACAATTGTGAGCTTAAATAGGGTGGGTTCAATGGAGCGGGGCTGAGGAGATGGAGGCAACCAGCATAGATTACTCTTGATATTCTGGGGAGTTTTGCTACAAAGAGAAGGAGGTAAGAGATGATAGATGAAGGTGTGTGAGGTCATGGGAGAGATTTTAAAGGCAAGAGATATCATAGCACATATATGGGTTAAGGAAGTGATTCCATAGAGAAGAAAGGACTTGACAACATACAAGAGATGACTTCAGAAGCACAGGTGAGGAGGTCATGCAGAGACTAAGGAGGGGTGAGAAGAAACAACTCTACGAAGAGGGAAGGCAGTATATGGGGGTGGAGAGGTATTAGATAGCATCACCGACTCAGTGGGCAAGAATTTGAGCAAACTCCGGGAGATAGAGGAGGACAGGGGAGTCTGGCATGCTGCAATCCATGGGGTTGCAAAGTGTCAGACACGACAGAGCCACTGAACATCAACAACAGGAAGGGTCAGCATCAGAAAAGGAAAGGTGACAGTGAAAACAGAAGTTCGAGTGTCGCACTTGGAAGACAGAGGAAGGTGGCTGTAAACCAAGGAATATGGACAGATAACAGAAACTGGAGAAGGCAAGACAATTGATTATCCTCTAGAGATTCTGGAAGGAATGTAGCCATGCTGGAAGTTTCTTTAGTTTTATAAGACTGATTGTAGATTCTGATCACCAGGACAATAAGATAATCGATGCTGTTTTAAGCCACAAAGTTTGTGGTCATTTGTCACAACAGCACTGTAACTCATACATGAGAATTTGTCAGGTCTGAGATCCAGTATTTCTGTAGCCCAGTTCCCATTCATATGATGCACTGGGTGAGATCGCTGTGAAATCTTTGTGAGCGCATTCATATGACGCACTGGGTGAGATTGCTGTGAAATCTTTGTGAGCGCACTGGTCTACAAACTGTTACTCCTCTCCTGGAGATGAGGAAAGGCTGCTGAGAGTGATGGCAAGCAGACAGCCTTTGGCATCCGCCATCTCAGAGGCCAGTCTTCCCATGGGCATTGACATGCCAGGCCTAACTGCAACTCTTGCTCTGACAGTGTTCACAGTAAAATGAGCCATTTCAATAAGCACTGTGGCCAAGACATGGGGAAGGAAAGCTCTCAGCTCTGTGCTCTGACCTGTGGCCCTGGTGGCCAAGGCACTCGCCCTCTTCTTCCTGTCCCTTCTCTCAAACGAAGGCGTGCAGGGTCCATGAGGCCAACTTCATAGAAGGACAGGTCAAGGCCTTGTACTTCCTCTCTCTGGGATTTACAGCATTTCCCTTAGTTTATAAAGTTGGGCCTTCTCCAAGGGACTTCCAGGAAGGCTGCCATCATGTGGCTTTGCTCATTGCTGTTCTTAAACTAGTTCAAGTTGTTAATTGCAGTCCTTCCCTAATGTTTTTGTTACTAATATTAATGTGTTAATTTTCTCCATATGGACCCTTGTATGATTTTGTGATGGGTGAACTTTCAGAAATCAGAGATAGATGTATATTGTAATAATCAAAGAGAGTTAACTGCTGGAGTTGTGAAGTCAATAGACTATTCCTCATAGCCTTCCAGGAGTGGGTGTTTTCATTTTCTTTTCCATGAACTCTTGACATCCCATGCTACTGCCCTTTGTGGTTAGAAACAGAGGAAAGCAATAGCATTCTGTGCTCTCTCACTGATAAGTCAGACGTGAAGCTACAGTCCTAAAGTTAGAATTAAAGTCTCATCCAGTCATAGCTCTGCAACCAGAAGATCAGTCAGGCACCAGGCTTTGGTAAGTATTATGAAAGGAGATACATTCTTACCGTCTGCATTGGAATTCTAAAGTGAGTCCACGAATTAAAAAACAGAAAAAAGGTAAAATATGAATGCAATATGGCTGAACTTGCACAAAGCCTCCGCAGTAAATTCAACGCTAGACTCCTTAGCCATAAAGGAAAGAGGCAAAGACTCTGGTCAGCAGACTCCTGGCCCCTTTGGTAGGGTATGCCCATCAAAGCATCGTTGAGGAAGAGGCATGTCAGGACTGCACCCTGTTCTGTCTGTGAGCACAGGAGCCCCAGAAGAGGGACAGGGACCTCCGAGTATGACCACAGTGGGAAACCCCAAGCTGGCGAAAGGCAGATGGGCTACTCCAGTGCATGGACAGGGCATAGAGGTGCCTCTGTAGCCAACACCATCTCTATCAGTGGGCCAGCCGCTCCCGGCACCTCTTTACCAAAGCCTATTGGACACCCTCCATTCCCACCCTGGTGGAGAATTGATCACTGCTTCTGGGTATCTGCTGTTTACTTCTCACCCTTTCCTGGACCTGCTGCTTGCTTGTCCTCACTGGGTTGCAAGCTTCTTAAGGGTTAGGTCAGTGTGTTACTTAGTCTGGCTCCCCAGGGTGCCTCCTAGAACCTGGCTTATCTCTGAGGTCAGTAAATGCTGGACCCATGAACAAGGGGGTTCTTCTAAGTCAGGCATTGGCCAAATACAGCCTTTGGACCAAATCTGGCCCCTAGCCTGTTTTTGTAAATGAGTTTATTTGTTTTTTTGTAAATGAATGCAGCACTCATTTGCATTTCATCTAGGGCACTATACAGAGGCAGAACTGAGTAGTTGCTACCCTATCACTACAAAGCCTAAATTATTTACAGTCTGACCCTTTCCAATGAGTATTTGGGTCACATGCTCTAAGGAAACTGCATCTGCTCTTGGGGATGGTATCATGAAGCAAGATGTAAGGATGTATTGTGACACTTTTGGAATTTTCCTAATGTATCCCTTGAAGGGCTTCCCTGGTGGCTTAGTGGTAAAGAATTCACCTGCCAATGCAGGAGATGTGGGTTCAATCCCTGGGTTGAAAAGATCTCCTGGAGAAGGAAATGGCAACTCACTCCACTGTTCTTGCCTGGAGAATCCCATGGACAGATTAGCCTGGTGGGCTATGGTCCAAAGGGTTGCAAAGAGTCGGACATGACTGAGCAACTAAACACGCAATGTATCCCTTGAAATTATCAGACTTAAGCTAAATAGATTCAGGGTTGAGAAAGGATACAGATTTTTCCCTTTGTTTAGGACCGGAGGACTGTCCTTGTAATCTGAAGGATTTCCTGCCCCCTAAGTCTGGGGAGGGCTTGGCCATGTGAGATTTCTCCAGGAAATACCACAAATTGCTTTCTGATCCCAAATTATTCCTTTGTCCACTTGTGCAGACTCCCTTTAACATCAGCAGATGCCCCTGTGAGGACCAAGAATATTATTGCTTTATATTTTGTTTTTCCATCAAAACACTTTCCTCCTCAATCTGATCTGAGATCAATGATGGTGATAAAACAGGGGCTTTGAGGAGGCAGATGTGCATGGTTCTGGAGGTGGTGAGGGGTGTTGTGGAAAGCTTGGAGGCAGCAGAATCATTTTGGTGTTGGGACCGTTGCAGGAAGGATGGGCTGGGTGGCTTTTCAGAGCGGGGACTTTAGGTAATAGCACAGCTGGCGCCGAGCGCCTGGAGGTGTAGGAAGGGCCACATGAGGGAGGTCAGCAGGAGCAGGCATGTGGGTGTGTGGCCAGACACACTTCTCCACTTCCGGTGTGTACCCAGGGTCCCCTGCTGAAAACAGGACCTTCACACTCCCTGGGCAAATGCATCTAATCTCGTGCTGCCCAGAGGTGGGTAATTTTGCCCCCAGGGCACATATAGTAAGGTCTGGAGACACTTTGGGGTGTCAGATCTGGTGCGGATGAATGCCGTGATCTAGGTAGTAGGACTCGGGGATGCTGCTAAATACCCTACAAGGCACAGTACCACCCCTCTGCACACACACACTCACACAGCAAAAAAAAATCACCTGGTTCCAGGTGGCCATGATGCTGAGGCTGAGAAACCAGGATCAAGTCCTTGAAGTCCCCACATACTTCCTCTGGCATGATGAAAGATGTTTGGAGAGAAGCTGTGTGTGGAGAGGTACATGCTTGGCTGGGGCCTCCTGCAAATTTTTGCCTAGGAGATTGCAACGTAATTAGATGGGGCATCCGCATTCTGTTTGGGAAGAATAGGAAGAATTATCTTGTCATCACAGGCCAATTATCCCGTGAATATTTTGGCAGCACATTATGTTTTGCTGTGTAATTGCAATTAACATGTAAGTGATCTAGGGCTTCTGGTGTGTGTCATTCCAAAGCTGGAAAATATGTGACTAATGCTAAAGTGCCTGCTTGCACATATGTGTGACCCGTGATTAAGGAAGACGTGGCACAGGAGTCAGCCACATTGTGGGCTCTTACCTGTCCTCCGAGCTCTCACAGAATCGTTTTTAGATGAATTTTAGATAGGAAGGTACAAAAGAGCTTTAAAGGAGTGGTAAATTATCCATGTTGAGGGCGGTCACGTGAATTTGTGATTTTTCTCTCTTTTAGACTCACCTTCAGGTCCAACAGCGATTCTTTCGAAAGACCAGCACACTCTCCGTGGCAGGGAATATTCTCTCTTGTATCAACAGGATACAGTTTCTCTTCTCATACCTTTAAATGTTCCAATCTGTATTTAAAAAGAAAACTATTTTTATTTTAGCTAACGTAGATGTCATTTTCCACTAGTTCTTCTGAATGTACATTTTTCAGTAGCACTTAGCTCTGATAGAGCTTCTGCCACTATGTGCATTTCAGTATCTAAACAAAACAATAACCTCTACTCTGAATTTTCAATAATGAGGTGCTAATTTTCTTCAATGAGTAAATTTTCAGAAACTGTTTTATTTTGAATTGAATTTGTCACTTGCCGCAGAAAACAGGGAAGTTGGAGAGTGTTTGAGGGTTGAGAGGGGCTTTGGCCAGGCCCTGACCTGCTTGCTGAATCTAAGTGGAATGTCCTGGAGTGATGGGTGTGCTCCACCACCCGGGGATAGCTGGTTTGTGCTAAACCTGGTTGCTCTGTCTCGCATAGCTGAGACTCAGGTTGGTAGGATCACTCCAGCTCTGTTTCCCATCCTTCTGGATCTAGGAACTCAATTTCATCAGAACCTGTGGGGATCCTCAGGCCCTTAATTTTACTCACTCAATAAACCTGCACAAGCTGAATGTATAAACCCTCAGGCAAAGATGCTGGTTTCAGTGATTCCAGCACTCAGGCTCTTCGAAGACGAATCAGTTATGGTATCCTGTCTCATCATCCATATACTCCAGCCTGGCTACCCTCCCCCCGCAATCAGCAGCATCATCTCCAGCCTGTCTGCCCCCACCTCCCCAACCAGCAGCATTTTCTAGTCACCCAGGCTCACTTGGCTTGATTCTTGATGCCAATGGTCTTTATCTGCTTTTATAATCAGACCCCAGATTGTATGATTGTTTTCACTATTTCTTTTATTTAAATTTTTGTTGGAGTACAGTTGCTTTACAAAGTTGTGTTCATTTCTACTGTGCAGCAAAGTGAGTCAATTATATGTATACATACATCCCCTCTTTTCTGAATTTTCTTCCCATTTAGTCACCCCAGAGCACTGACTTCCCTGTGCCCTAAGGTAGGTTCTCATTAATTGCCTATTTTATACTTAGATATCTCATCAGTTCTCTATGTTATTCTTAGATATCTATTTTATCTAATAGCTATCTATTTTATATGTTCACTTATATACATAGTATATAAATGTCAATCCCAATCTCCCAATTCATCCCACCCCTCTCCATTTCCCCCTTGGTGTCCATAATTTGTTCATATATCTGTGTCCCTATTTCTGCTTCACAAATAGGTTTGAGACATGTTTGGACCTACAGACCATCATACAGAGTGAAGTAAGTCAGAAAGAGGAAAACGAATGTCCTATAGTCACTATTTCTTTATGATGCCTCCTACATCTACGCACTGTTTTTTGGTTCCCACAGCCTCGCATCCTAAGTCAAGTCTGGGCTGCTGCCATAAACTTGTTCCCAAGCCACCACACCCCGGATGCTAGCAGCCAGCTTCATCTTCTAAAGCACAAGTACATGCAAAACAAAACACAAGGGGAGAGCATTGTTTCCCGTGAGAATTCTGCATTTATGAAAGAGATAATCATTATTTATTTTGCTATCATTATGCTTTTCACTATCGAGTTTTTAAAATCAAATCAAAATGGGTCACAGATCAGCTGTGCAGACCTTGCTATTACTAAGCACTGATATTTTTGTACTTTAAAACATTTCAAAACACTCATACATGCATTATCTCCCCTGGCAAACTTAAAGAGTAGTTTGGCCAAAAAGAATTATTTGCACATACTTTTTAAGCAATGTACAGAAAATACCTGCTAGAATTTTGTAAGATGATGTTTGTGCATTGTGTGTGAGTTTGATATGGTCTTTATGATACAGTTTTAGACTCAACATTCAAAAAATTAAGATCATGGTATCCTGTCCCATCACTTTGTGGAAAATTGAAAACAGGGGCAGATTTTATCTTCTTGGGCTCAAAAATCACTGAAGATAGTGACTACACCCACAAAATTAAAAGACTCTTGCTCCTTGGAAGAAAAGCTATGACAAACCTAGACAGCATATTAAAAAGCAGAGACATCTTTGCCTACAAAGGTCTACATAGTCAAAGCTATGGATTTTCCAGTAGTTGTGTACAGGTGTGAGAGGTGGACCATAAAGAAGGCTGAATGCTGAAGAATTGATGCTTCAAATTGTGGTGTTGGAGAAGACTCTTGAGAGTCCCTTGGACTGCAAGGAGATCAAACCAGTCAATCCTAAAGGAAATCAATCCTGAATATTCATAGGAAAGACTGATACTGAAGCTCCAATACTTTGGCCACCTGATGCAAAGAGCTGACTCATTGGAGAAGACCCTGATGCTGGGGAAAATTGAGGACAGGAGGAGAAGGTGGTGACAGAGGATCAGATGGTTGGATGACATTACTGATTTAATGGACATGAATTTGAGCAGACTACTGGAGATAGTGAAGGACAGGGAAGCCTGGTGTGCTGAAGTGCATCGGGTCACAAAGAGTTGGACATGCCTTAGTGGCTGAACAGCAACAATAAATACACTTTTATCGTCAAACAAAGGACCAAAAGTGAGGCCTCACTCTGAATCCATACCCTTTCTCCAGATGTACTTGTTAGCTTCTGCCACTCATCAGGTTTCCTGCATCCTGTTTAATTAAGTTCCAATCCTGCCATGTCCCTTCTGCACAATCATTTCATAATGGATGCATCTGAGCTGGTAGTTTAATAATCTAAATAACAACACACTTTATGAGGATCACTGATAATAGCTGCATATTTAGAATCCATGTTGTAAATGATTTCATCTTTAGAAACACAATAATGTATTTTTCTTATGAGTTTTGAACTAAGCACATGATCTTATTTTCTTCCCAAGGGCTGATTTTTTTTCTTGTCACTACTTTTGCTTCCATCCTCTGTCAAGACCCTGCTGGAGAAACATCTCTGGCTTGCTGTCCACCTATTTGCGGTCTTTCACCTGTGCCCCTTGCCTGCATCTGCTCAGCTTTCATCAATGGTCACGGACCTCATTCAGTGCTTATTGCATCAGGGGACTGATCCTATTGCTTCTGGGTTTATCTCGTATGTTCTATTTTTCAGAATTAAAAATATTCACAGTTCACCTTCTGTGCATGTGAAGTTTTTGTAGATTGCCTTGTGCTTCCCTTCACCTCTGAGGAGGTGACATACCTGCTCATGGAGAGGCCGCCCTGGTTGTTCTGCTGATCTGGTTTGATGTAGCCACACTCTGCTTCCCCGATAGCTCAGATGGTAAAGAATCTGCCTGCATGTACAAGATGTAGGAGACCCAGATTTGATCCCTGGGTTAGGAAGATCCCCTGGAGCAGGAAATGGCCACCCACTCCAGTATTCTTGCTGGGAAATCCCAGGGACAGATAGCTGGGCAGGCTATAGTTTGTGGGTTCACAAGAGTTGGATATAATTCACCTTGGCCCCATCCAGGGGAGCAGTGGGGATCATGGGTGGCTGGCTGGCTCATGGGGGATGGGAAAGCTGTCCCTGACCCCTCTAAGACTGGCTGATCTGACCAGCCACATCTTGAGTCATTTATTAATTTTTTTAAAAAACATCATAACTGGTAACTATACTGCTCCACCCAAAGTTGGTGTAAAATGTTTATGAGGATAAAATTTTGGTATTCTTGATAAAAGCACAACAGTTTTGATCAGGCTGCTATGAGCAGATAATAGATCAAAGATCTGGGTTGAACTTTGGCTTGGTTTTAATGCCATTAACAATAAATCAAGAATTTGTAGAAGAAATGTCTAACAGGTGCTTTGCAAATACATTGAAAAAGGAGTATCCATCCCCAGGAGCTAAATAGAATTTGCTTCATAAACCAGGTCACACAGACTAAATTCCTCACCTGAGAGGCTAGCCCAGTCCCAGGGCATCAAGGGACATGCAACAGACTCTGCTCCTCCCTTCCTATGAGCCCAGGTCCATTTTGACTCAATGTTGTTCCATTAAGATCCAATCCTTCCTTGTGCTTCAGAACATCTGAACTTGGAGCATTTCCCAGTGGCATCGGGTCTGGATGGGTTGTGAAGAGAATGGGTGATAAAATTGAAAGATTTGCTTTACACATGTTCATCCTTTTGTTTTCGTAGAAATGATTGCTCAGTGTAGAATATTGTGAACACAGCAAACGTGTGAAGAAGCAGAATGTCACCCAAAACTGAACACCTTGAAACAACTTTTGTTGACATTTTGCATACTTCCATCCAGACTTTTTTCATACACTTTTTCCTTTTTTTAAACATAGTTAAGAACAAACACATGTAATAATTCTGACAGGCAGAAAGAGGGGGCAGAAAATAAGTTCCAATAAGGATAATGAAAATTCTGATAATTTATTCAATAAATATTTTTACAGATACAAGTTTAGAGAGGCCTCATTTAACATATGTTAAAATGAACAATATCTTTTTTTAAAAATTTGATTGCAATCTGAATGTGGGGAAGTGTTGCAAAAACTATCTTAAAATTAACTGAGGAAAACACAGTGTCCAGATGAAGGGAAGTAATTCAGAGCATTTTGGATTGTACACTACCATTTGGAAAGATTTTTGGAGCATGTGCTCCAATATACATTTATTTATGTATATGTCTATCTATTAATATACACATTAATGATTGTAATATGTTACTTTTATGTATTATCATTTTTACCCATCATATATATACACGCATACATGTATATCTAATTATACACATGCAAGTATAATAATACATTTTATATTTGTGCATATAAAATATACAAAATACATATATAAAATATATTGTTATAGTTACATGTACATAATAGATATATCTATCCGATATAAGGAGATCAAACCAGTCAACCCTAAAGGAAATCAACCCTGAATATTCATTGGAAGGACTGATGCAGAAGCTGAAGCTCCAATACTTTGGCCACCAGATGGGAAGAGCCAACTCATTGGAAAAGACCCTGATGCTGGGAAAGATTGAAGGCAGGAGGAGAAGGGGACAACAGAGGTTGAGGTGGTTGGATGGCCATGGGCATGAGTTTGAGCAAATTCTGGGAGATAGCGAAAGACAGGGGAACCTGATATGCTTCAGTCCATGGGGTTGCAGAGGGCCAGACATGACTTAGCAACTGAACTACAACAACGATAGCCCAGCACTTGCTGGAAGACCATACACTGGGCTTGCCGGAGACCCATGCACTCCTGAATTGTCGTCTGCTCTTCAGGATGTACTGTGTGGGTACGCTGAGAAAGAGCTCCTTCTCCTGAGTCTGCCTGGCTTCCTCTTTATTCCATCGCCAGCACCAGCCAGTGGTCAGTTTTGGTGGCCATTTGTTTTTCCAGGAGGAGGAAGACTTCAACAGCTTATAAGCGCTACTCACTATGACAGAGAGCAGAGAACCACTGGGGTTTTTGCAAATGGGGATGCTGGGTAGTCAGCAGGCACCTTCCTCAGCCAAATGATTTGCTCCAATTTGCCAGCTTCCTTGCTGGTGTCCAAATTATGGTCCTCAGCAAAGCCACAAAGTCACATGTGGGAAGAACAGGAAGCGTCATTCTTGACTGTTGAAGAGCATGCGTGATCTCTGCTATGCCAGTTACCTGGCATCCTGGGGACTTCCTCAACCTCCCTGAGAGGTAGTCACCCTGTAGCAGAGTCTTAAGGCATCATGGGGTTTCCCTGGTGATGCAGTGGTAAAGAATCTGCCTGCTAATGCAGGAGATACAGGAGATGTGGGCTTGATCCCTGGGTCAGGAAGATTCCCCTGGAGAAAGAGTTACAGTCCATGGGGTCACAAAGAGTCAGACACGACTGAGCAACTGAGCAGACACACAAGAAATCTTAAGTATTATCTCATTACCCATCTCATTTGGTGGAAGAGGAATTTGGATTTGGAGGTTGTCATAGTGGACTGTTGCCAACCAGGTTCCTCTGTCCATGGAATGCTCCAGCCGAGAATACTGGAGTGGGTAGCAATTCCCTTCCCCAGGGGGTCTTCCTGACTCAGGGATCGAACTCAGGTCTCCTGCATTGCAGGCAGATTCTTTATCATCTGAGCCACGAGGGAAGCACCAGTGAGTTAGTAGGAGAAACCAACCTCACAATTCACTAATCTTCTGTTTCCTTATCTGCGCAATGGCACAATGGGGAGAAAATTAGAGGTACTTTGCATGACATGTCAGAATTAATAAACCAATCTAAGGAGAGATGATCCCTCCTAAACCAGGACTAGAATCCAGAATTCCTAAGTAAGTCAAGATCCTGGTGCTTCCTAGAAGCTGAAGCTGTGGCATGGCCCATCCATCCAAGGCTATAAGCTTGACCAGAGGTCTGGGAAATGCTGCTCGAAGTTTGTCATGACACATGGCACTATCTTTCTAAAAATCACATTCTCCCATTTGGTTTCTTTCTGTACAGTCATTTGTAAGAGCCCTGAATTCAGAGGCAATAATGCCCTGTGTGAGTTATGTAAGTCAGTACAAAAATTTCCCATCAGTGAGATAGGAATGAAAAGTCTCTGTGTAATAAACAAAAAGTATTGTGTATAATTTCCCACTGGTCTTTTTTGTTAATTGGGCTCTTACTGTTGAAGCCTTTAATGTAGAGAATAAATGAATAACTGAATTTTATGCACAGCCTCCTTTCATTATGTTCAAGGGTTCAAAATTGAAAATGAACTATTTTTAGATCTTACATGATGATATAAAAGATTGTTTATTGCTGGTAATGCAGGAAGCAAATTGCATTTCTACTTGCCTGGTTTTTCTGTGGAGGCTTGAATGAGCTCCCGTTCTTGCTGATTCATTAATTATGGTCCCAAATGACTCAAGTAAAGTCTGATGATTTTTAAACATGGAAAATGTTTCTCAAACATTTCTAGTACAATTCAAGTTCAGGTCCTGCTTTGGCCAATCAAGATGATGGTCCTTAGAAAAATGAAAATATTTGTACGTGAGCCCTGTCTGGGAAGAGGAACATGGGATATTATGTCAAAAGGAAGGAATAAATCCTCATAATGGTTTTTGCCCCAAAGGCTGGTGCTTTGCATCCTCTTTCCTTCCTCCTTCTCCAAGTCCCAATTTCCTCTTCAACTTTTCTTCTCTCTTTCTATCTCCTTCTGATTCATGTTCCCATATTACAACACACTCTCTCTCTCTCTCTTTTTTTTTAATGTGGCCAAATGTCATGGAATGTCAACCAGTGGTTCTTGAACCTCTGGTATCTGATGTGAACGAAATAGAAATAGCATCCAGAAAACAACCATGAAGTCATGTGTGCATGCTAAATTGCTTCAGTCCTGTCCAACTGGACTGGACTGGCCCTATGGACCATAGCCTGCCAGGCTCCTCTGTCCATGGAATTATCCAGGCAAGAATACTGGAATGGGTTGCCATCCTTGCCTCCAGAGGCTCTTTCTGACCCAGGGATCAAATCCATGTCTCCTGCATCTCCCAGATTGCAGGCAGATTCTTTACCACTGAGCCACAGGGGAGGGCCATGAACTCATCAACCTCTTACAATAGATTTTATTTATCACAATAGCTTCTACATATTATACATTTAAAAAACATTATGGATAAACATGCAAAGAATTATTTTTCCAGCTGTGGGCTAAGGACATCTCACAACACAGCTGTAGCTGCCCACAGATTGGGAACCAATGAAGTCATGATATTTGAGTTTCCCTTTATTTATCCATTAACTCTTTACTTACTGCCAATGATGTACTGGGCACTGTGGGCAAACAGACAGGAGGTGATTCTCACCTTCAGGTGATACATGTGGATTAATGAGAATCCAGGCGGGGCAGGACATCTGCTGGTATCCTTCTCCCGATGCTTAGTAGTTTTGTGACTCTGGGCAAGTTGCTTCATCTCTGTGTATGTCAGTTTTCTCACCCATGAAGTAGAGATAAGATTAGTAGCCTCCTTCATTGGACTGTGAGGCTCTCCTGGTGACTCAGATGGTAAGGAATCTGTCTGCAATGCAGGAGACCTGTGTTCAATCCCTGGGTTGGGAAGATACCCTGGAGAAGGGAATAGCAACCCACTCCAGTGTTCTAGCCTAGAGAATCCCATGGATAGAGGATCCTGGTGGGTTACAGTCCATGGGGTCACAAAGAGACATGACTGAGTGACAAGCACTTTCACCTTCACTGGATTGTGGCGGGAATTAAATGAGTGACAGCTCGTGAAGAGTTGGGAGGTGACTGGTGCATAAGTGTTAAGTGATGCCATTATATTTCTACATAGTGGGAAGGGTG